ATGTAGGCAAAGGGTAAGCAAGGGATTCTACACCATTCTATAGTGAAGGGACTGAGCAATCAGAAAGGTCAAGGGACACCGAATGAGCCAGAGACGACATCAGGGTCCGAGGTCAAGGAGAACACAACTCCATACACTCCTAGCCAACTAGGAGTGGGCTCCTTCTAAGATGGGTTTATATACTACACCTTATCTCAAAGAATACAGGGTAAAGGCCACAGAAACTCTGGCTCCTCAAAATAGTTAACATGCATTTTTATTGAGCACATGCTGTCAGGTGCTGTATTAAATTCCCTACACACATTACTTGGTTTAAACCTGCACTCAACTAAATCGGGCAGGAGCGATTATTAGACTCATTTCCCCAATGGCATCATCAGGCACAGAGCAGGTAAGTGATCCCCCGAGGATCACATAGGTAGTCAGTGGACGGGCTGAGATTTGAACCCAGTGTGCCCAGAGCATGTCTAGATACAGCCCCAGGATGATGCCAATTATTTATTCAGTGTTATTTCTTGACCACCTACAGGCCTAACCCCGCAGGAGGCACTAGGGATTCAGCAGAGAACAGGACAGACTGAGCGCTGGGCCCATGGCCACGGGCATGGAGTGAAGCAGGCAGGAGAGTACAACAGCGAGGGGTAGGAGGATGGGAACAAGAGCCAATTCTCTCCTCCTGGACATTTTACTTCCACCAGGCATCAGTTTGGTTTTTGCAGTCCTAACCTCCAAGGCAGGTGGATGTCCTGTTCCTCCCCATGTAAACCCCTCCAAAACAGGCCTCCCCTCTCTGCAGGCCTCCACCTTCATCAGTGGCCTTGGCTAGCTCCTGTGATGGTCCTGCAGACCAGCAGTGAGTACAAACAAGGTGGTACAGGGCCACCTGGGTGGCTCAGTCAGTTTGGCGGCCGACTTCAGCTCAGGTCACGATCTCGTGGTCTGTGAGTTCGGGCCCTGCGTTGCGCTCTGTGCTGACAGCTCAGAGCCTGGAGCCTGCTTCCAATTCTGTGTCTCCCTCTCATTCTGCTCCTGCTTATTCTCTCTTTCTCAAAAATAATACACATTGAAAAAACATTTAAAAAAAAAAAAAAAAAACACAAGGTGGTACATATTCCTGTGACCTGGAATGATGTGGGTACAGACCCCGGAGCAGGAACTATTTACAACCACCTTCATTTACCTGCCAGGTGAATGCCTCTGTTTCAACACCATTAGCTCAACAAATATTGATTAAGTTACATATGTTAAAAAAAAAAAACAAAAAAAAAAAAAACCAGGACTGGCACCTGTGGAAATCCACATTAAACCAGAGCCTCCAAGATTTAAGAGAGAAAATAAAATTTAACAACCAAAAGCTGCCATTTTACAAATCTTCGTCAACCCAGCAGGTGGAGGTATTAGCTCCTTTTTATGAATAAGGAATCGGAGGCTGAGAGGTTACAGTAACTTGCCCAAGGTCACAAGCCTGAAAGTGTAGAGCCAGGATGCTACTCAAAGCCCATGCTCTTTCCAGCTTGCCTGGCATCCAGCAGGCCTCGCATGAGGGTGTGGGTGAGGGAAAAAACTGGGGGCTACGGTCATCTCGAAAAGACGGGCGTTCAGACCTGCTACCTTCTAAAAGGTGGCTTTAGAGCTCAGCCTCAAAGATCAGGAAGATTGTGAAAGCCAGCAAACTCCCTAATCCACTGCATTTTATGTCTGGAGGCAGGGAGTCAAGCCCCAGGAACGCTGCAAGAAAGCATTCTTTGAAGAAGGGACAAGCCACGGCCAACCAATGCAGGTTTTTGAGTCATGCCTCCTGCCTGCACAGACTTCTACCTGCATCTGCATCGGGCCTAACCATTCACCAAGGAAGCGCTTCCTACCACATCACTTAATCTGATGCCCGTAAGAGCCCTGGGGATCGGCAGGGCAGGGCAGGGCAGGGCAGGACGGGAATGTGGCCCGTTTACCGAGCAGGAAACAGATCGGAAGCACCTGTCTGTACCATTCAGCGCTCTATCCTCAGCCCTTGGAACTGGGCCTGACAGAGTAGCTGCTCAAAGTTATGTGTTGAATAGTCTAATAAAAGCTCAGAGAAGTGAAACGACTGGACCAAAGTCTCTCTTGTTGTGAACACACCAGGGCTAAAAACAGGGCCTTCTGCCTCCCACCCAGAGGCCTTCGTATCCTGCCGCACTGGGTCCTCCCACCCACCCACCCGCATACACTCACTCTGCTGCCTCCATCTGCAATGGTCAGCCTCCTCTGTCCACCCGTCTGCTCTGATCCCACTCAACTCTGACCTCCCACGATCAGCAGGGAGGCTGTCAAAAGCAGCCAGTTACTTCAGATCCGATCCCCCACACCTAATACCACTTCCTTATATACCTACCACCCCGCTGAAAACGAGGTGAAATTTTCAGACAAGTTCACCGAGGCCCATGCAAGGTAACAGAATCAATGGCAGGCCAAAAAAAACCCCTTGGATTTTCAAAGTGAGGCCCGGAGCTTGTGCCACGCCCCCCCGACCCCCACCCCATCAACCCACCAAAGCACGGGTTGACTCCCCTTGGTCCAGAGATCCTTGTAGGCTCTGGATGCCAAGCCCAGCTTTCCTGCCTTCCTCGCCACCAAGGGACAAGTGAGGGGAAGCTTCCTGCCCCTGACATGGCTGCATTCCAGTCCCATCATGCACCATTTGGGCCTCGGGGCTGGTCACTTCTCCCTCTGTCCCTCATTTCCTCAACCTCAGGTGTGCCAGGCTCACATCAGCCAGAGCCAGCTCTTAGAACTGTTGAGTCTGCCCTCCAGATAACCACATTTCCCAGATGACCCTGATCCCACCTGGCTACCCAGAGGCCTGGTGCACACCCCCACCACCCTGATCAGGGGTTTGTGAGTCTATATGTGTGTACATACACACAGACAAATAGAAACAATACAATTTTCCTCCCCAACTATATCTAATGTATTCATTCATTCGATACCAGGGAATACTGTGAGTAGGTCCAGTGGCAACGCTGAGGAGACAGGAATTTCTGCCCCCCAGGAACTTCATCCCACAGTCCTGTCACTCCTGCCGCAACTAGGCATACAGTAGGTGCTCAGTAAACAGGAATGTCTCTTCTACTCCCATGGAAGATCCCAAGACATCCACCCCGCTACTCCCTCCCCCTCCTGTCCAATTTAAAATCTAGTCTCATGAAGGCCTCACCCTGAAATTTAAAAAGGGCCCCCTGCCTTGGCCTCTTGATAATCTCCAAATTACCACTCCATTTCTCAGCTCCACCAACAGCCCGAATGCCCCAGGAAATAAGCCCCCAGAGTGGGGGGCTGTCACAGCCTCTCCCTGCAGCTCCCCCTGGGGGGCCAACAGGAAGAGGGGGAGGGGTGTTTAAGCAACTGCCACACTGCAAATAAGTCAGCTGGAAGCCGGGGACCTTCTGCCGTTGCCCTATAGGGCTGGGCCCAGCAGAAGCCTCCGCCTGGGTCTCAGGTCGCCGGGCTTTGAGGAAGCCCTTTGTGCGTGTGTTTTAAATTACCTCTGCTTGTCTGATGAAGTGAGTAAAAAGGGCGCCGATTCAGGGCTTAGGATTCCTGAGTGAGCTAATACAGGATGCCTTTGGCTGAAAAAAAAAAAAACTTCAGTCGGCTCCCTAAACTCCCCCCCTTTTAAGTTTAAAAAAGGGAATGAATGTTACCATTTTTGGACATGAGCGTTCTCCCTCAAGCCCAGCCCTAACCGCACTATCCAAAGGGACGCGCCATCCTGTCCCCCCCATTCCCAGATCTGCGGGGGGGGGGGGGGGGATGAAATGAGGAGGGACCGGATGGGAGCGGACAGCGGGGGAGGGGGGAGAGGAGGGTGTTCAGGGTACGTGGCCGCCTGGGGCAAGAGCTCACAGCGCGGGCAGGAAGCAGAGGCAGGGTTGGGGCACCCTCCTCCCCCTCCCCACAAGAGTGGTTTCTGACCTCTTCCTGCCGCCGGCCACTGTGCCCAGGTCCCATCGCCAGCTCTGAGCCCAGCCCCCGTGGAGGGTGCGCACCCGGCACACCTCGTCTGGGACTCTTGGGGAAGGTGGCTGAGCAGGGGCTCCCCATTGACTGACCCCAAATATCTCAGTAAACAACCTCTTGCCCTGGAGCCCTTCAACTCAGATCAAGTTGCCCAAATTCGCCTTCTCCCGAGAATAAGCGAGGGTCGGACTGGCAGGACGCAGACGCAAAACCCCCATCTCCGCCGGCAGCTGAGTTAAGCAATAAAACGGTTGGTCGTCCTGACCCCGCCCCCACAGGGCCAGCTGGAGAACCCGCTTATGCCCCCCCCAGTTTCCTCAGCCGCAACCCACTCCAGCAGGTCCACCTCCAGGCAGACCCGGAGGCGGCTGCCAACCCCTGCGGCGCCCGCTTTCCCCTCGGCCTGCGGGCTGGGGTTGGGAGGTGCAGAGTCGCGTGCAGCTCGCCTCCTGCAGGTACGGAGCCCAGGGTGGCCCAGGAAGCGCGCGGCCACCGCACGCCAGATGGAGAGGCGGCCAGGGGGCGGGGAAGGGAAGGGAAAATCGATCCGGAGCAAGCAGCCACCGCGCCACGGCTCAGCCCCAGCCTCCCAAGCACCGCCCTCCACCCCCTGCCCACGCGGGGACGGTGCGGCTGCAGCCGGGTGGCCTGAATCGCGGACCCGAAGGCGACCTGCCCGCCGGCGGCCCCACCTCCCCGCGCTCGGGCTCCGGCGTTCGCGGGCTCTGGGAAAGGGGCTCTCCCGCTTCCGCCCGCGTCTGTAACCCAACACCCCACCTCGCGGCGGCCGCGCATCCCCCGCCCCCGCTCGTGCGAGCCTGGAATCCGTTCCGAGCCGGGAGCGCGGCTAGCGGAGCGGGCCGGGCCGGGGTGCTACGGCGTGCTGGGGCTGCTGCTGACCTTTCTCTGCTGCTTCTCCCAGGCCGGGTCCAGGAGCAGGTCTCGATCCCAGTCCTCTTCGGGCTGCATGTAGTCGTTGGTTTGCTGGGAATCATAATGGTCCATGATGGTGCGCGCGTGCTACAAGCTGGATTTCTTCCTCCACCTTCTCTCGGGGCGGCGGTGGCGGCTGCTGCTCCTGCCCCGGCGTGGGGAGGGAGTCGGGCCGGACTGGGCTGGGCTGGCGGGGCCGGGCTCGCTCCCCTGCGCCCGGTTCCGCCGCGGCGCTGCTAGCGGTAGCTGCTGCTGGTGGCGGTGGCGGCGGCCGGCTGCTGGAGCTCGCGGACTGCCTGCCTGGGACCTAATCTCCACGCACAGTGAGCGAGGCGGACACACTCGCGCTGCGGGAGCAGAGGCGGGCGGGGGCGGGGGGAAGGGGCAGAGCCCTCCCGAGGTTCTCCATTGGCCAGGCCGAGTTGCCCAAACTTCCCCCCATCGCCTTTCATTGGGAATTCCTGGCATCCGTCAGCAGGGCCGCGGCGCATATAGGTGGACTGGGCGGGCCCCCTCCCGGCGCGCACGCCCCCGCCCACTCCCCGGGTTCCCACTCCCCCGCCGCTCATGTGACACCGGCTTAAGCCGAACGGGACCGAAGCCGGGGGACGCCTCCCCGAGCTGTGGGACCGAGCGGCAGCGCGCCCCGGAGCCCCAGTCGCCGCCTGGGACTGGACACGCTCCCCGCCCGCGGGAAGGCGGCGAACTCCGGCGCGCCGGCCTTATTGCTCCCCCGACGCGCTCCAAACCCCAGGCGGCCCGCGGCTGGAGAAGGGAAGCGAGGAAACCCGGAAAGCGTTTCATTTCTCCTTCCCGGGGTCCGGAGAGGTCAGCACCCACGGAAAGGGGGCAGGGAATGCTGGAATGGAAAGGAATTTCCCGGGAATTTCTTGGCCATCCCTCCCGCCTCCGCCCGGCCCCGCCCGTCGCGACCGGGCAGACCCCTGCCCTACGAGAGAGAGCCCGTATCTTGCCACTGAATGGCACTCGGGAGCCTCAGAGCTTTCCCGCCTCGCCACCGGCTCCTTTCTGGCCCGACCTCGGTCTCAGGGGACCGCTCTGCCTAGGGGCTTCCCGGGCAGCGCCTACGTCCCCCAACTTTCTGGGATCCGCTGTCGTTCCCCGCGGGCGGACGGGCCGGATCTACCCTCGTATACACCTGGGCAGCACCCTGAAAACTGGGACGGAGGGCCCTGAGTGGTTTACCCACTCCACGCCCCGCCCCCAACACACACACCTGACAAATGGGGAGACCGAGGCTCAAAGAGTTGGGTTCGAAAAGGGATTTAGCAGGTTTTCAGGACTCCACAGACTGACCTGTAACCTTAGGCCTGATAAACAAAGCCTTATTGTTATTGGAGGAAGAAAGAGGGCGGGTTTGGCTAAACACCTCTCACTTCTTGGTGCCTGCCTGGGCTTCCTTCCCCAGGCCTAGTAAGGAGGGCCTAAACACACTGCCCCAGCTGTGACAGATACTGGGAAGAGGCAGCCCTGACCTCCTGGTGGGTTCCTCTGAGGGATCCCAGGCCGAAGAACAGTAGGAGCAAGCAGACCTCCGACAGGTCATGGGCATGGTGGGGCTTTTATATTGGTGCCCTGAGGATTAGCTGAGCCAACTCAGGGACTCCAGCGTGTCACCCCAGAGGGGAGTGAAGGAGTTAGAAGAGTGCATTGCCAGGTAGGGCCATGAATTAGGATACGTGAGAGGCCACAGAGGGAAAAGGTGAAGTGCCTCCGACTCTCAGAACAGCTAGCTGATGCTGCTGTAAGCCACTATCTGTTGCGCTGTCACTCCCTGTATCAGTAGTCAACCTCATGTTTCTGCGAGTGTTACCGGTCAGCGGCCAGCACTGTGCCTGCCACCAGCCCCTGGCTGAGGAAGCACTGCCTCGGAGCCAGAGAGGGTAGATTTATAGACTATTTTATAACCATTTCTGAACTATGGCTCTAAACCTAACATAGAGGATAATATCGTGCTGTAGCCATCCATTCACTCAATAAATATTTGCTGAGCACCGTCTGTGTGTCAGGGGATGTGCTAGATGTTATGTATATACAGATGAAAAAGACACAATTCCTTCCCCATGCAGCCCAGCCGAGACAGGTACAGAAACAAAAATATACTGCAAGGAGACAGCTCTGACCACTGAGCCTAGCAGGGGAAGGGAGGCTCCAGGTGGAACTTTTTGGAGTAGGTGAAATTCAAGGGAGCCTTGAAAACAAGAGTCAGCCAGATGAAGAGTGTGGGAGGTTATTCCAGGCAGAAGGAACGGTGTGAGTTAGTACATGGGGGCAGGAAACTGCAGGGTATAAAAGGAATGCCTAACATTTCACTGCGGCTAGACTAGAAATCCAAGGCCAGGAGGGGCAAGAGATGGGGCTGTGGAGATGGGCAGCGGCCAGACCACGTAGGCCCGGTGCACCGTGTGAAGTGTGGATCTGAGGGGAATGAGGCTGTACAGAAGCTTTGAGAACCAGGTGCAAAGCAATTGCAATAATCCGGGTAGGAATGGCCCCTTAGTCCATTTGGGCCGCTGTAACAGAATCCCGTAGACTGGGTGGCTTCGACAAGAACATTTATTTCTCAGGGTTCTGGAGGCTGGGAAGTCCAAGGTCAGATTCGGTGTGGTGAGAGCCCACATCCTGGCTCCTAGACAGCCATCTTCTGTGTCCTCATGTGGTGGTAGGAGCTCTGCCCTCATGACACCCACTCATCCTCCTAATACCATCGCTCTGGGGGGTGGGGGGGCAGGATTTCAACATGTGAATTTGGGCGGGACATGAACTTCAGTCTCTTGCAAATGGAGAAGAGTGGATAGACAAGAAATACCTAGAAAATAAAACTGAGTGCCTCGGAGTTTCAGTGTGAGAACAGAGGAGACTTTGCTGCTCTTGACCAATGTCCCATATGGAATAGACCATGCAATTTATCTAGAATATCTTAGGTAAGTTCTACTATGAGATGAGGGCTGTCTCTGCCTTACAGAGAAAACCAACCAAAGCTCAGTGAGGTAGCTAACTAGCCCCATATACACGTAACACACATACATGTGACACCTAAACCCATGCTTTGGCCCCAGTGTTTCTCAACCCTAGGATAGTTTGACACCCTCCTTCCCAGGGGATATTTGGCAATATCTGGAGACACTTTCTAGTTGTCACAACTGGCGGGTCCCTACTGGCATGCAGTGGACAGAAGCTAAACATCTGTTAACAAGCAGGACAGGACAGTCTCCCCACAACATAGAATGATCCAGCCCGAAATATCAACAGTACTAGGGTTGAGAACCCCTGCCTTAATTATTGGTTTCTAGTTTGGATGATCTGGTGAATGGTGGCAGTACGACCAACTGACAAAGAATTTCAGATTTGGGAATGGAATCCTGGATTGAACGCATGGAGCTTGAAGGGCTCGGAGAATGTTCAGATTCGGTGGTCCAGCAAGCAGGTGACCGCATGGCCCTGACCTCAGAGAAAACAGATCTGAGAGTCATCTGTGTACAGGTGGTATTGACCCCATGTGACCACCCATGAAGAATAACGAATGCCTAAGCGCGACTGGGAAGGGACCACGGCTGAACCAGGAGAAGCAGCACTTGGAAGGAAGTATAAAGAACAAGGTCCCCTGATGGAGACAGAGAGGAAGGGGTCAGCAGGAACACAGAGAGTCTGGCCCACTCTGTGTCATAAAAGTCAAAGGTGTGAAGTTTCAAAGTGAGGGGAGTCAGCAACATCAGACATACAGGAAAATAAGGCTTAACGAAGTATTCTTTGCACGTGATCATTGAAAATTCACTGGTGTCCTTTGCCTGTGGAATTTCAATAATGTGGCCAAAGCTGTGACTTTAAGAGACACTAGTCAGGAATAAAGGACAAGAGTGAATATAGAAGTCCCAGAGGGGGGTCCAAAGGAGGAATTTTTTTCTTTGAATAGGAGAAACTTGAGGAAGGATTCCGTTGAGAGGAAAGAACTGAAAAGGCAAGCAAGTGAAAGGTGAGAGGTGGCACAGTTTTGAGGAGACAAGACTGTGTGGGTTCAAGGGTGTAGGCTGAAAAGATGGGCCCATAAAAAGGGCAAAGGGGGTGTGCCTGTCTGGCTCAGTCAGTAGACCATATGACTCTTGATCTTGGGGTTATGACCTCAAGCCCCACATTGGGAGGACAGATTACTTAAAACTAAAATCTTGGGGCACCTGGGTGGCTCAGTTGGTTAAGCGCCCGACTTCAGCTCAGGTCATGATCTCGCAGTTTGTGAGTTTGAGCCCCGCGTTGGGCTCTGTGCTGATGGCTCGGAGCCTGGAGCCTGCTTCAGATTCGGTGTCTCCCTCTCTGCCCCTCCCCTGCTCATTCTCTCTCTCTCTCCCTCCCTCTCTCTCTCTCTTTCTGTCTCAAAAATGAATACACATTACAATTTTTTTAAATAAAATCTTAAAAAAAAAAAAAAAAAAAAGAGGAAAAGGCCCTGGTGCTCTGAGTGGGGGGGTGGGGGATGAGGATGGGCGAGGGTGTCCAGAAGTGAATCTCAAGAGGGTACGGGAGTGGGTTGAAGCAATAACTGATGATCTTGGTCTTCTCAATAGGGAAGAGGCCCCGCAGGGTGGACTGAAGGTGTGGAATTGACCGGTCTTTCCGTCCAGGACTCACTGGTGGCCATCACACTGTGATACTAGTTCCATATAACGCCATCTCCCACAGAGAAAACAGAATTACTAAACATGCTGATTTTTTACAGATACTAAGGTATATGCGTGTTTCTAACATCCATTCTTTTCCTTCAGTCAGGGTATAATGTACAGTAAAATGCATTGCCCAAGGGTGCTAATCTTCAGCATACAGCTCAGTGAAATGTCTCCTGGGTCTACACCCATGAAACTACTACCCAGCTCTAGATAAAACATTCTCAGCACCTCAGGTTTTCTCATGCCCCTTCCCAATCTATACTCCTGATCCACGTTGGAAGCCATTATTCTGACTTCCTACCCCCAGTGATTGTTCTCACTCGTTTTTGCACTTCATATACATGGAATCATACAGTGTGTATGCTTTGGTTTCTGGATTTTTCACGCGATTTCATGTCTATGAGATTTGTGTGTGTGTTGTGTATTGTATCCATAGCTCATTTGTTTTTGTTTTTTTCTGGTTTTGCTGTGTAGTATTTCACTGTATAAGTATATCCCAAGTAATGTATCCACTCTCTTGTTGACGGGCACTTGCCTCGTTTATAGTTTGGAGCTACCATACGTAAGTGCCATGAACATTTCTATGTGTGTTTTTGGTGACCATATGCATTCATTCTCTTGGGTATACACCTAGGAATGGATTGGATCATAGGGTGGGTCTATATTTCATTGTAGTAGCTATTGCCAAAACACTTTTTCAAATTGACGGTAACAGTTGACTTTCCAGCAGCAAGGTCTGAGGAATTCAGTCATTCCACATCCTCTGACTACAAGCTATTGTCAATTTTTGTTTTAATTTTAGCCATTATGGTGGGTGAAGAGTGGTCTCTTTTTATGGGTTTAATCTTGCCATAGGCTTATCAACCTTTTGAATAAAAAACTTCCATTCTTGCTGCCATTAATAGCAATTGATTCTTAATGTATTAGCTCCTTGAGATAAGGAGACAATGGCATGTGTATTGTATCGATTTCACCAAATTGAATTCATTCAACAAATATTTAGCAAGCAATTGCTCTATGCCCTGCACCGTGCTGGAGAATAAAGATGCAAGAATGGTCATGTCCCTCTTAGAATAGACAGTAGATGCTTAATAAATATTCCATGAATAATTGTTTTTCGAGGCTATTCAGCCCCTAGTAGGAGCTGTTTTGTTTTGGACTTGTTTTGGCGGGAAGCCATGGCCATTTCATGTGACGTTTCAATTAAAAGTTTAAGAAAAAAAAACAGATTTTTTTTGAGAGAGAAAGAGAGAGAATGGGAGAGAGAGAGAGAGAGAGAGAGAGAGAGAGGGAGCAGGGGAGGGGCAAAGGGAGAGAAAGAATCCCAAGCAGGCTCCTTGCTGTCAGCCTAGAGCCTGACTCGGGGCTCAAACTCACCAACTGTGAGATCATGACCTGAGCCAAAATCAAAAGTTGGACGCTTAACCGACTAACTCACCCAGGTGCCCTCCAAACAGCTCTTTAAAAACAAAACAAGGGGCGCCTGGGTGGCGCAGTCGGTTAAGCGTCCGACTTCAGCCAGGTCACGATCTCGCGGTCCGGGAGTTCGAGCCCCGCGTCGGGCTCTGGGCTGATGGCTCAGAGCCCGGAGCCTGTTTCCGATTCTGTGTCTCCCTCTCTCTCTGCCCCTCCCCCGTTCATGCTCTGTCTCTCTCTGTCCCAAAAATAAATAAACGTTGAAAAAAAAAATTTTTTTTAAACAAAACAAAATCACTGGGGTCATGTGGGCAGCCAAAATGGAGTGAGGTAAGATCATGAAGGAAAATTGGAGGATTTATCTGGGAAGCAGTCCTGACTCCTCTCTTTCCAGAGGCTCAGCCTCTTTTGCCCCTTTCCCATTCATTCTCTGCATTTCTCTAGGTGCGATGACAAAGGAACCGAGATCGAGGCCAGAATTCTTGCCATTCTTGCCATTCACTGCCATGGCCAGTGGCCATGAACTGAGGCTCAAGAAGTTTGCTCAAGTCATGGCAGGGCAGACAACATTGATGTCCCTTCAGGCACCAGTCAGGCCTTTCCCTGGATGGGAGATCTCCTGACTCAGCAGCAACAGCCTCTGAGACTAGCCGAATCCACCACCAGCACTGCAGACAACTGTTTCTGCCCCAATCTAGTCGGTAATGAGTCACCCAGAAAGCCATAAGTGCTTTGCTATTGAAAGAACCTAGGTCTGGAGTAGATGACCCAATTTCCTTGGAAAGAAGAAATCATGTCTATGAGTTCTGGGAGTACTTATTAGGCACCTACTCTGTGCCAGGCAGAATTCTAGGAGACCCACAGAAGAGCCCTATTCCTCCCAAACCTTCTGGACTAGCTGCGGCCAAACAATGGGCTTCCGCCTCTAGAATTCATCATCCAAGAATCCATCAGACACTTACTGACAGGCTGAGAGAATAGAAATGAATTGGACTGCCACATGAGGTGACATAAACAATGTAGAGTACCAGCCCAGTGCCTGACATGCACCAGGCCACCTAGATGCTCAGCAGTTTCTTTTTCTTACCCCACTATGTGTCATTCATTGGCCGTGCAAGTCCCCATGAGGAAACACAAAAAAAGCAGCATCTGCAAGATTCTGGAAAGTAAAAGCTCTGTGGACCTCCCAGCCCAGAGTTCTGGGGATTTCCTTCAGCGTGACCCAAATCTCTAACCTTACACCCTAATGGTCACGGGTTCCTTATTGGCTCTTCCTAAGAGAACTAAGGACAGTAGTATTTGCAGAAGGCTAAAAGGAGGGAGGGAACTCACCATGGTTTCTTGGGTTCCTGGCTCCATAGGTCAGAGATCTCAGTTGCATTGCCGGTCCCAACAGCAGTCTAATTTATGCACGCCTTTGTCACTGAATTCCCATAGACACCATTTATGGTTGTCTCTCTAATATATATCATATATTTTAGCGTTCTCTATTGTGCTTTTTTGTCCCCATGTTATTTCCTATTGTCACACCCCCACACAGGGCCTAGAACACCATAGGTGCTCCAGTTCAATCTTTGCTGAATGAAACAATGCGTTAGGCAAATTCCATCTCGGTGCCTCAGTTTCCCTCATCAACCTGTAGGAGGCCCTGGAAGTCCAGTCCTTTGCCATAACCTATGTAAGCCTTTCCTAAGTCTTCTGACCACCCAAGGAGCCAGTGCTGGAGACACGGACGTGGCCATCTAGCTCACATGCCTCAGCCAGCAGCTCCCAGCCCTCACCAGGCCTACCTCTTCACCACCAGGGAAAGATTGTTTGCCTCTAGGCCAGCTCCTGCCCCTCCCACTACACGCGGCTCAGGGGAGGAGAGAACACAGTTTCCCTCTAGCAGAATCTCTAGTAAAGGACAGGCCTAGAGCACGCAGCAGTTTGTTTCCATGCTCTGCCTCGTTCTCGGGTCTAGGTGCCAAGTGATGGAACATCTGGCCTCTCTGGTGCCCTCTTTTTCATCTTTTGGCATAAATCTTTACCCCAAATTCCAGAGGAAATCCAGGCAGGACCCTCAGAAGTCTTCACTTCCGATTATTACCCTGAGATGGGTTCTGTGAGCAAGAGATAGTCATGCCTGCTAAGCTGCCAAACCTGAGTCCTCCAAGGAGGGCCGCGAGCTCCCCCAGCTACCTCTAGTTCCCAGCAAATCACAGCTGGGAAATTCCTGTTGAGTAACACACGCCCCTGCCCCGTTTTAGGAGCCGGCAGGCAGAATCCGGGGGAACGCGTTGCAGGGAAGTCTGATTAACCTCAGCTTCCCTCTCTTAGCAACTGGGTCCCACTGGTCTCCCACAGAAGCTGAGCCCCAGAGGCCTGCCCAGGGTGCTTCCTAGAAATGAGAGAAAAATCTTCTGGCAGCAAGGTAACCTCAGAAGAAGACTCGGGGCCAGGAGACCTGTGCCCCCCGGGCTTTGGTTTATTCACCTGCAAAGTAAGAGGGCTGGACTCACCAGATGGTGGTTAAGCCCTGAGCCCTACCCTAAGAACATCTTTCTCAGGCTCCTTCTCTATATTGCGATGACAAGTAGGTTTGAGTCCAATCTTGAATATAAACAAATTCCTCTAGGGGCGCCTGGGTGGCTCAATTGGTTAAGCGTCTGACTCTTGATTTTGGCTCAGGTCATGGTCTCACGGTTGTGGGATCCATCGACTGAGCCCCCGCATCGGTCTGCGCACTGAGTGTGGAGCCTGCTTGGGATTCTCCTTCTCCCTCTCCCTCTGCCCCTCTCCTGCTCACTCTCCCTCTCTCTCTTTCTTTCAAAATAAATAAATAAACATTGACAAAAAAATAAGCAAGTTCCTCTATAAAAGATACAGCGTCTCACAAAGTTACTTAATTTTTGTTTTAATGTTCCTTAAATATATACAAACGGAAAACTAGGTACACACTGGTAAGGTTTTAGGTTTACAATTAACATAGAATAAAAACAAGCTTACAAATTCCCATCTAAAAGAAACTATAAAAGCAGTAAGACTCACCTTAGCCGCTTTAATTTAAATTTGACTGTTGCTATTTGCCCAAATGAAACTGCTCCTCCCAGCATGACTGAAGTTCTGGTGGTGACAGAGTAGGTGGCCCTTTTGCCTTCAGGACGCCTGTCTTCCCGCATGCCTTCCCGTGACTCTGTTCTACTGTCTCTGAACTGCTGCAACAGAGCATCACTTAACCCTTGGAGGGAACACACCATTATGCATTAAGTTCCCTTCTCCTGTGTTCTCATTAGCATTCCACAATTAAAGATGTTTCCTTTTTTTTTTTTTTTAAGTTCTTTTTAATCTTTTTGCCAACAGGATCCTTCTCTCAAGTTTCAATGTCCTGGGGTGGGGGGTGGGCAAAATAGGAATTAAGAAGTACACGCTTCTAGTTATAAAATAAACAAATCACAGGGACGAAAAGTACAGCATAGGGAATATAGTCAATAATACTATAATAACTTTGTGTGGTGACAGTAACTACACTTATGGTTAAGTATATAGTAATATATATAATTGTTGAAATGCTATGTTGTATACCTGAAATGAGCATAATATTATATGTAAACTATACTTCAATTATTATTTTTTTTAATTTTGGGGCACCTGGCTGGCTCAGTCAGTAGGGCATGTGACTCTTGTTTTCTTGTTTTTGTTTTTGTTTTTTTTCCCCACCCCGAGCATGTGACTCTTGATCTCAGGGGTCATGAGTTTGAGCCCCACGTTGGGGGTAGAATTTACTTAAAAAAAATTTTTTTTTAATTAAAAAGTTTCAGGGTGCCTGGGTGGCTCGGTCAGTTAGGCATCCAACTTCTGCTCAAGTCATGATCTCAAGGTTCGTGAGTTTGAGCCCCACATCGGGCTCTGGGCTGACAGTGTCGAATCTGGACCCTGCTTCAGATTCTGTGTCTCCCTCTCTTCTCTCTGCCCCTCCCCTGCTCTAGCGCTCGCTCTCTCTCTCTCTCTCTCTCTCTCTGTCAAAAATAAGTAAACATTTAAAAAAGTTAAAATATCTTTAAAACAAAATCTCACTGTCCTTACCTTCAAGAGAAGGAGAATCACCTTGATTCTACCTACTTCACAGGATGACTGTGAACATTCATTCATTCATCCTATCATCATTTATCTAGTACAGAGGGTGTAGCAGTGACCAGAATGGACAAGCTCCTTCCCTGTGGAGCTGCCATTCCAATAGGAGAGACTGATAATAGGAGAAATGAGGAAAATAATAGGATAATATTAAGGAAAAAATTAAGCAGGAATGGGAACAGAGTATGGGGATCCAATATATGGGTTTTCTGACATCACCAAGCAATTCTCTGATACCAACTGGGTGCCCAGCAATTCAACTCCATTCTGACAATGTCTACCGGGTGACAGCATCAGGTCCCCCGGTTAAGTGCCCAGGCCTGCAAGATTTCAGATGCCAATCACACCTCTGCTTCAGGCTGACTGGCTATAGATCCCAGGTTCCCACAGCTCCCTCCATGGGGTTGACTGATTTGCCAGAGTGGCTCACAAAGTTCAGAGAAATGTTTTACTTATTAGATGACTGGCTTATTATAAAAGGATATAATCCAGGAAGAGCCAGATGGAAGAGATGCCTAGGGCCAGGTATGGGGACAGGGTGCCACTCTCCTAGGTTCTCCACATGTTCACTAACCCAGAAGCTTTCCAAACACCATCTTTTTTGGGGTCTTTTATGGAGGATTCATTACATGACTGATTAAATCATTGCCTGCTGGCAATTGATCCAATCCCCAACCCTTCTCCTCTCTCAGAAGGTCAGGGAGGTGGGACTGAAGGTTCTAAGCCTTCCACCACATGGTTGGCTCTCCTGGCAACCAGCCCCCACTCCTAGGTGCTTTCTCAAAGGCACCCCATGGGGCGCCTGGGTGGCTCAGTTGGTTAAACAGCCGACTTCAGCTCAGGTCATGATCTCGCGGTCCGTGAGTTCGAGCCCCGCGTCGGGCTCTGTGCTGACAGCTCAGAGCCTGGAGCCTGTTACAGATTCTGTGTCTCCTTCTCTCTCTGACCCTCCCCCGTTCATGCTCTGTCTCTCTCTGTCTCAAAAATAAATAAACGTTAAAAAATAAAAATAAAAAATAACTAAATAAAAGGCACCCCATTAACACAAACTCTGGTGTTATTGAACAGGGTTCGTTGTGAATATCAAGACACCTTCCTTACTCTTATCACATAGGAAGTTCCAAGGGTATGAAGAGCTTTGTGCCAGAAATGGCGACAAAGACCAAATATATATTTGTTCTTATAAATCACAATATCTCAGGGGAGAAGTAGAGGGAGATTACATTTTTAAAATGGCATGTTCTGGGGAGGCTTCATAGAGTAGGTAACATTTAAGACCTAAGCGAGTTGGAGGAAGCTAAAGGATTTGAGGAACAGCCAGGAGGTCAGGTGTCTATTTTGGAATAACACACAGCAGCGCGAGTGTGTGTGTGTGTGTGTGTGTGTGCGCGCGCGCGCACGCGCGCGCGCGCGCGCGCACACACACACACGGAAAAGCACAATGCAAACCTGGATATATAGTAGATACCATTGTTTCACTGCCCAGCAACCATTTCTCCTCCTGGCAACTCTGCGGTGATATTCCTCTGGGGAGGCACCTCCCCTGTCCCTGGTCTCCCCTGCTGGTAGGATGACCCCACCCCTAACCACCAGGGCTGGGCAAATGAATAACACACAATGGCATTGCGGGCACCCTTGGGAGAGAGCCACAGTCTTTTCCCCCTGGAGATCCAAGCAGTAAAGATGATAGGAGCCTGGAGCTTTCCGGAGCCACCCACTTGGAACCTGAGAAAAAAGCCAGTGCAGAGGAAGATCACAGGGATGAATCCTGGAGACATATTTTGATCCCCTGTATCAAGCTGTATCTACTTCTGGACTTCCCAGTTTATGTGCACCAATTAATTCCCTGTTTTGCTGCATAAGCTGGTGTGTCAGTTATCTATTGCTGCACAGTAATTTGCTGCAAGACGTGGTCACTGAAAAGAACATCTATTACCTCGCAGTTTCTCTAGGTCAGGGATTTGGGAGTGCTCGAAGCTGCGTGATCCTGGTTCAGGGTCTCTCGTAGGCTTTCAGGCGGGGTGGTAGCAAGGACTCTGAAGGCCTGGCTGGGCCTGAAGGATGTGCTTTCACAGTGGTTCACCCCATGGCTGTTGGCAGGAGCCCTCAGTTCCCTGTCACGCGGGTTCTGCATAGGCTGGGTGAGTGTCCTCACAACATGGCTGCTGACATCCCCTGAGGGAGAGACATCCAAGAGAGCAAGTGAGGCGTGCCCTTTATAAGCTCGTCCCTGAAGTAACTCTGAAGTGTTACTACCTCAAGCCCACGCTCAAGGGGAGGGAAGCAGGCCCCTCCTCTTGAAGGGAGGAAGATCAAAGAATTTGTGGACATATCTGAAAACCACCACACCTGGCTTAACCTTGATGTTCTGTCACTCGCAAC